GCAAGAGGTTTTTGTCTTAGTCTAGGGGAGGGAAAAGGCTAGAGCTTCTCCTCTAAAAATCCAGACAATAGACCTCATCACCTGGCTCAGCACTGTGTCTTCGCACATCCTAGCATCAAAGAAACCGAAAAGATGGCATGAAGACAAATCCGTACGATTACATGGCATCAATAGACCACTTGCGCAAAAATGAGGCTACCGTAATCCGACGAACTTTACACCTGCTATATGCCCCGGTGTATTGGAATAAGCGCCGTGGATGGATTGATCACGGTTCGCTTTTGATGCCACAGTTCGTTGGATTATTATGATGTGGTGATGGGGGGGGGGGGGGATGCAACTCTTTCCTCCCAAACTCAAGCGATCACATATTTACTGAGCGTCTATAACATAAAAAAATGTCGGCAAAATGAACTGTGGGACATCAAATGCTACTCAACGAAATATGCACAGGCCACCTTGTGAAGACCTGTCAATCCCTGTTACCAAAGTGACTCACCTGTACCATTCTCAGCTTCACAAGGGTTTACAGGCCTCACCAAAAAGAGACCTGTTGCTTAACACGAACTAACAAAAGGAACTAGCTGGGAGTGCAAAGTGCGCCCAAGTCCCCCTAAGCCGAAACAGCGTTAAAATGTCAATAGTGGATCTATTTGTTTTGGGTGTTCTGCCGAAAATGAATACATTTTCTCTGCAATACAACCTGTTGAATATACGAAAACCAACCTAGCTTTAAGATCTTTTTATATAAAGCTAGCACTCGACTTCTGCTGGTAGCTACAGCAACGGACATCAAAGTCCGCACCTAAATATGTAATCATCAACTTTATTTTGCATGGCATTGGAACAGTGGTTTTGGCTTACACACAAAGTTAGCAAGAAATAATGGGATGGGGAAAAAACTATGAGTAGATTTTGCTTCCACTGGTAAATTCGAAGGTTCTTCGCAATGCGAGTTCTTTCCATTGTCGTTAACGGTTCTAAGGTTCTAACAACGCTCGAAATAACGTTGTTTAATTTAATTCAATGAGAGCGAACGAATAAATAACGAGCAAGAGAGAAATCAAGATGATGAAACGTCCGCAGCTGACTGCAGATGGTGCAAATGCAGAAATCGATCCAGTCGCGGCGAAAACACTTTTGTTTTTCACAGTTTCTCCTCTGGGAAAGAACTTCACTTTCTGGTTTTGTGTTTGTCCTTACAGGGCTAGCGCTGCGCTCATACCATGCAACACTGGAGAATCGCGGAATCCACGAAAAGGGTCATTCGCCATTAAACGGACAGGTCATGTTTCCGTGGACCTTCCCGACCCCCTCCCCCCCGATTCTCCAGTGTCGTAAATGTATAATCTGTGAGTGTTGTCGAAATGATCAGCGAAGGTGTACGGCAGTCAGGGCACGTCCAATGCTGGCGAATCCTCTCGGAGGTCGGGCTTGGTCGCTAGTTGAAGGGGGAGCCATGTTTGGCCTAAGAAAAATGTTTGCGCGCGTTGATTTCCCTCGATTTTTCCAGTTTCGTGTACGCTATGTTTCTGCGTAACCCTTCCCCTCGCTGTAGCTATTTGGGGGAAAATGGGAAACTTCGCAAAAAGAAACTCCGCAAAAGAGTTGGGAAACTTCATGAAGATGGTAGGTAATATAGGGGGATGAGAAGGGGGTCGTTCTTGAAGAGCAGTTTACTGGGGTAGTGCCGTTTTCCAAAACTTTTCTTTGACGACAAGTGGTGCTCAGGTAGGATTTGTTAACAGATTCTGCAAACCATAAACGCATTGCTCAAACAATTTCGTCATAATTGGATCGAAAATTTTCAGATATGAAAACTGTAGACCTTCACAACCATGCCTTTGTGGATCCCGTGCGTCGAATTCTGAATGTTTTCGACATGAAGCACTTCTATTTCTCAGAGGTGAGGGTGCTGTGGATGCTAGTTTCTTGCATGTTTTCTTTTCTCTATGAGGTGACGCAAACATTAACTTTCCACTGGGCTATTTTGAACTACCTCAGGTTGCCCAGAATAGACCCCACTACATTTTGGCGACTTTTGTCTCCTAGAACCCCTGGCTCACTTGACAAAACATTCTCCATTATTTCTGGCAACCTTCAAACTGGGTATGCATTCTACCCCATTCAGACCGCGCGATCGGATTGCTCGATTTCGCGCGATCATGACCGGACGCGCTCCACTGCCAAGCGGTGCACCGCCGCAATGGCAGAATTCAAATTGGACCGGGTTCACACAGTGTAAGCACTCCGATCGCGCGATGCAGTCGCTAGAGCGATCCGATCGCGAAGTCTGAATGTGGTCTCGGAAAGAATAGGAGAATCGTGTAAGCATTCTGGCGTATTTACTCCTCCGATCTCCAGCTAGACGCACATATCAGTTTTTGTCCGAAATACCCCAGATTCCCCATAGATCGTGCAAACATGTCTAATAAGCGTTCATACCTTGTGACAGTGAAGCATTGACGATAAGGATTGAATACGTATGGATGAAGACTTGACGAATTGCGGAAGCGGATCGATGCGTATCTGAACCTTTTCGCCAGTTCCTTAATCCATTAGTTCTTCGATTCTCGATTTTTGCTGTCGCAAGGTATGAACACAGCTTAAGGAATGTTTAGCGATCTATTGCTCATTATGACTGCCGCGATAATTGGTCTGTACTTCCCGTCTTGTAGTGTTCCTAATGATGTTAGTACCGTGTTTAAACTATAGGTTGCTGAAGGGTCGTAATTGAAGGTCTCAATGGGGCACCAGTGTCAAAAGGTTATTAGTAAATTCAGGTTTGATAGATTCAACGACATTCAACATAATTCAACAACATTCAATACAACTCTGATACTCTGTGGTATAAATACTACTTTGATTTATCCGTCTCGTTAATGCAGAGGCCCCGGATGTGGATGTTCAGAGATAGCAGCTCTTTTACCGTGAGAGCATGTTACGGTTCACATATTTAGAGTTATCAGATGCTACTAGACTTCCTTCATGAGCTCAACGATGCTGTTCTAAATGTGAAGACCTGTGATGATGTTGCTGTAGGTGAAAATACCATGAAACTCATCGAAATGTTAGACACACTACTGGTAAGTCATAAATACGGAATACAAGTTGCCATTTACTTCAAGATACTACATTTAGGGATGGATTGACATGTTCCCACCAGAGGAATCGATGGATCAGAGGTATGGGAATAAGTCATATCGGAAATGGTTCGATCACTTACAAAATGTATGACTTCCGTCTAGAAGATTCTCACGCTTTTTGGGTTACAGTTGTAGATGTAGATACCTTTAGGAGATGAATAATGTTGTTACGAGTCATTTGCCGGATGAAATGAAACCAGCATCTATCGAGTTATGTGCTTATCTCGGAGATTCGTTTGGAAATGCTACTCGCATAGATTATGGGTCAGGTGAGCAGCTACTGATGTATTTTTGGGTTGTTTATTTTTGGTTATTAGTCACCTTGTACAAGGGGAGTGGCAACACTATGTGGAAACAGAGCCCGCGGTGGCCTAGCATCTATGATTCTGCATGCCATGCTTGTTAGTGTGCAACCAGGCGTAATGCTGCGTTCATACTTTAGATCAGCCTTTTGAGCGTACAGCAGCGTTTTGAGCAACTAAGAAAATATGAAAGCGATACACTTCTAGTCGTTCAAAGCGCTGTCTTATGCTGGCGTGCGCTAGATTGGAACTTATACTTTCCTAGTCGCCTAAAACGCTGCGTATGCTCAAAACGCTGACGCAAAGTATGAACGCAACCTGAAATTGTTCGCTACACTTCTGCAGATAGCGTAGACGGAAATGGTCTCGCTATATCGAGGCTGTCGCATGCACTGTGATTTCAGGTCATGAATCTTGTTTCGCTATTTACCTTCTGTGTCTCTATCGCATAGGATTTCTTACGGCTGCAGATCATCAGGCGGTTGTGCTCCGAGTTTTCGTGAAAGTGAGCCAGCATCTTTCTCGATCATTGAGGCAAGCCTTCATGCCCCACCATCGTATTTACAGGTATTTACACCTTTGCCGAACCCTACAGACAGTGTACAAGATGGAGCCGGCCGGCAGCCAAGGCGTGCATTCGATAGATGATTTCCAGTTTATTCCATTCCTCTGGGGTAGTGCTCAGCTAGCTAGTAAGTTTTATTTATTAGGGTAGATGTTTCCCCCTTGTTGATGCGGTAATCATCGAAATCAGCTCAGCTGATGTCATTTTTCATACGGTGGCGGGTTTGGACAAGTAGCGCAATCTCCCGAATGCGTGAAAGCATTCGGGAAATTACGCGATTCAGAATCAGCGACAAAGAATCAAATGAGAACTGATTAGTTCAAATCAATGGTTACGATTCGCGTATTTTCTCAAATTATGCATTATCCCGGATCGAGTAAGCTTAAAACGCTAGATGACCGAGTCAGTCGTTTCTGAACATGGGCAGCGTTAAGACTTAGCGATGACGCGCGACGAAGCCCTGAAACGCGCGTCGTCGCGCTACCATTGCTTTCGCCTTCTAGGTTCTATAGACAGAAATTCCCATGCACTCTCAGCGTAGTAAAGCTGGCGCCGATAGTAAAGCTGGCGCCCCGTGTATGACTGCGTTCCTCGAAGCGCTGTTGCAATGGTAACGCGTTGAGCGTCATCGCGAAGTCTGAACGCTATCTAACCCTTGTAGCCAATTCTCTGGAATCGCGTACTCTCCCGAATCGCAAATCTGCACATTCGCAAAGCATGGTCTTCATGGAAGTTGAACGAACTTATCGGAATCACAAGTTCTCTACAACCTACACTGAATAATGAATGACCTAGCGAGTTGGTCCATTTTTGTCGTTAAAAAGAATTCTTACAGACAATAAATCCCTCGTTCCCGAATCTTATCTGAAGGCAACAACAGTTGAAGCTAACGCGCATAAGTACCTTTTCTTCGACTGCGTGAATTTCATCAATCAGGTTTGAGTTTTTCCTTGACTTCTTAGAAATATTGTTGTGAGCACTTCCCCCGTGGCTATTTCTAGCGGAATCACACCTTTATTTCAGACCAAGAGTGGTCCATTCTATCAGCATTCCAACCAGTTATGGAACATATCCGCTGTGCCGACATGGACGAAAGTCAATAGTGGGCTCTTCAAAATGTACGAAGGAGAGGTATGCCTAAACACACGCTCAGCTATTGAATGCCGTTTACCAGTTAGCTATTTCTGCGGCAAGCTTGCAATATGCCGCAAACCTGGGGTAGAAGCCTAGCGAAATTCGTAAGGTTTGCGCAACCGTTTCATTCCCATTCAACTCGACCCTTTTCTAATTCTAAGTACCTGCTGAATGTTTATACCCAAAAACTTCTTGTCAAAGCCAACCGATCTTCTTCGAGTAAAACTCTTCCCTCTCTATAGTGAAGTTTGAGAAAATGGGTTGAACGAAATTTTAAGGAGACGGATCATTTTAGGTATTGAAGAAGTTTCCAGTCGTGCAGCACTTCCGCTTCGGCTCGCTGTTTTCGTTTGAAGAACGTCCAAATGCGGGTCTTCTGCCAACAGAAACAGCAGCGCAAACAACGCCTGAGCACTCTGACGTAGAGACTCGCATGCCTCCTCCTGCGCTACCCAGTGGGCATGCACAAATGCCACCTACTGGACATCATCCCACACCGCATGCTCATTTGCCTTCTCCTCACTCACCACATCTACCGAAAATTGAAGAGTGAACCAAAGTGAGAAATCTGTTCTCATAATGATACCGGTATTTGCTCTGCCAGTGAAGTAACTCGTTCGAAGCTTCTTTATTCTTTTACTTGTATTCATAAGAAATCAGCCATTTGGGAGGTCTCTTTGAGTCACGGTTACCTGTACGGTTTTTGTATCTATATTTCTAATGTCTTTACCTTCATTACACAAGCATCAGAATCAGTACTAGTTGCTTTATTAGAGAGTTATTGTGCATGCATTACTTAATAAACTTTTTAATAAGCAGAATGCGTGTTACGGAAAACATACGTGAAGTTCACTGGGTCCTAACAATTCAACAATAATTATTTCTCCCTCTTAAAGGAAGTGCAGTTTTGTTTATTGCGGATGAAGAGGCCTGTCAGGCGGGATGAGTTTGGCGCGGCGCCAAACCATTCTACACCATTTGTTGAGGTGAGTAATCGGCAACAACTGATGGAAAACGTCTGATACGAACGCTGATGTAGACTTGTCGCCTGCTCGCTTCAACAGCTGGTGGCGCCGCGCCAAACACATTCCCCTCGCACGCCCTTACGTCTGCAGCGAACAACACTGTAAGCTATAGCTATAGATGAGGAAAGAGATTCTAGAAATTTCCAACTTTACCAGAACAGAACGGTACCGACGTAGTTCGAGCGCCTGTGTGCTTTCTCTAACCACTGATCAGTGGGATTAGGTAGGGCGGACTGCGCCGTCGCGTCGTCCTTCCGAACTACGTGAGCGAATGAACCACATGCGAGTTTAAAGTGATAAAACACGTATAATACCCAGTTTAGGGGTGAGCTAAGACCAAGAAGTTACACAACTTGCAATTTTTTTTATCATTCGCAGCTTTCCAAGACTAATAACAAATTAGAACCTAATTAGGTGTTGACTGAGCAGGTTCCAGGTAACTAAGAGAGAACCGAAGTTTTTCCATTGCAGCTGCAAAACTCTCCTGGGAACCTGTTTCTTGCATTCGTATGAATTCGCCGGCGGCTAGCTGCAAAATGCAGTTCAATCAAGCCGTATTTGTGAACTGCGACCTCGGAGATTCCATGATTCCCGAGAATCGATCGAAAGCGTTAAACAGATAAGATCGCGGATCACTTCACTGGTACCGTACAGGTGGAAATTCGGCGATTTTCCGAATTTGCCACTCTTTTGATTGGTACGAATCTAACCCTTTCAGCGTATTCTCCGATCCGAATCGTCGATTCTCCAATATCGCAAACGGGTTCGATAACGAGTTGTGTTGATAGTCGAACAAGCTCACCTCTGCAGCATTA